CCCCCCCCTCCCAGGTTAACTTTTGAATGCCTAAACCAATCTCTATGAAACTTGGTATCCATATCATGGCAACTGAGCCCATGTCAATGGTGTACTTCATAAATCCCTCCAATCAGTCATGTGTCTGTACTCCTCTACCACAGCAATGCATACACACAACAGAAGAATTTTTGGATACTTTTTCTGGATTGTGTTATCTCAAAGGTAAGTAGGTGATTAGTCCTTCCCCGAATGTCTTCTTTAAGCTAATGATGTACTGAAATTTCCATTTACGATGCCTCAAATTTTGTTTTTAACTGCATACTGAGTCAGGATAAATGAGATTTACTTTGGTATTATTCTATTCTGAGTAGTCCTGAGAGTAGGGTTCCCAGATACCCCATTTTCCCCGGATTCTTCCGTTTTTTCACCCAAATTTTGTTCCTCCGTTTATTATTTACCCGGAGTGGATAATTCTCCGTTTTTTTTTTATTTAAGTCCATTGTGAATTATATTTCATGGGTTAAATATTATCATAAAATTTCTGTAATCCTTGGAAAATGACATTGTTATAGTTTCTTTCGTTATGTTGCATTTCATGAATGTTGGCAACAGTTGAGGTTCTAAACCAAAGCAGAGGTTGTTGGTGATAGTGTATTTTTAATCCGTTCAATCTTCGCTAGAAAGTCAGTGTCAAGTTAGCAAAAATGTTTGAGGGCGAAGAAGATCCATCAAAGACTCCTCCACGGAAGAAGTTGAAATTCCAGGCCAAACATAATCAAATATATCTTAAGAAATGGGAAGATATGTTTTCGTGGGTTAAGCTGGGACCAGACAAGAACCGGGAATTTTGTACGTTGTGTAGGAAGGATTTTAGTATTTCACATGGTGGACAAAGTGACCTGAGGCAACATGCACAATACAAGGGACATAAAATTAAGGAAAAATGTAATTCTGGAAGTTCAAATAAACTTTCGAAATACTTTGTTAATTTAAACAATAAAGAAGAATATGACAACAGCACCGCGTGCGAACTTGGTTTAGTGTATCATGCAGTGAAACACAACTTAAGTTATTCCAGTCTGGACTGCGGAAATAAACTTGTGTCCCATATTTTCAGTGATTCCGCGATTGCTTCCAAACTTTCATGTGGACGCACTAAAGCGGAAATGATAGTGAAGTACGTTCTTGCTCCTAAAAGTGTAAATGACTATGTGTCTATTTTAAGATGTCCAGAAAATACTTCAGAATTGTTTTCGTTGGCTACCGATGCATCAAACAGAAGCAATCGAAAAATGTTCCCTGTTTGCATCCGGTGCTTCAACCCTTTAAAGGGAGTGCAGAATAAACTTCTAGATTTTGTTGAAAGTGCTGAGGAAACGTCTATGGCAATTACTGGTTTGGTGCTGCAGAGCTTAGAAAAGCACAACTTGGATGTAAATTATGTGTCTTCTTATTGTGCAGACAATGCCAATGTGAACTATGGAAAAACACATTCCGTATATCAGTTGCTGCGAAGTAAAAACCCAAATTTACTGAAAGCTAATTGCTCTAATCATGTCATACATAACACAATTAAGTTTGCAATCGACAGATTAGATGTTGATGTTGAAAGTGTAGTCGTAAAGATATATAATCACTTCTCTGTCTCTGCCAAAAGAAGAGAAGAGTTAAAATCATTCTTTGAGTTTCTGAATTTGGAGTGGACTGAGATTTTGAGGCATGTTCGAACTAGGTGGCTGTCATTAACACCAGGCATTTCTCGACTGCTTCAGAACTGGGAAGCAATGAAGAGTTACTTCAATTGTATTCCCAACTGTCCAAAAATATTATCTAACATTTTCATGAAAGATGACCCAGAGGAAGCAGTGTTGCCTGAAATCTACTAATTTCTTAAGTAATATTTGAAGTCAGCTGGAAATGGTAGATAAAACACTGGAAAGGTCTGACTTAAGTGTACTAGAGACTTACAAATTAAGTTTGCAATCGACAGATTAGATGTTGATGTTGAAAGTGTAGTCTTAAAGATATATAATCACTTCTCTGTCTCTGCCAAAAGAAGAGAAGAGTTAAAATCATTCTTTGAGTTTCTGAATTTGGAGTGGACTGAGATTTTGAGGCATGTTCGAACTAGGTGGCTGTCATTAACACCAGGCATTTCTCGACTGCTTCAGAACTGGGAAGCAATGAAGAGTTACTTCAATAGTATTCCCAACTGTCCAAAAATATTATCTAACATTTTCATGAAAGATGACCCAGAGGAAGCAGTGTTGCCTGAAATCTTCTAATTTCTTAAGTAATATTTGAAGTCAGCTGGAAATGGTAGATAAAACACTGGAAAGGTCTGACTTAAGTGTACTAGAGACTTACAAATTAAGTTTGCAATCGACAGATTAGATGTTGATGTTGAAAGTGTAGTCTTAAAGATATATAATCACTTCTCTGTCTCTGCCAAAAGAAGAGAAGAGTTAAAATCATTCTTTGAGTTTCTGAATTTGGAGTGGACTGAGATTTTGAGGCATGTTCGAACTAGGTGGCTGTCATTAACACCAGGCATTTCTCGACTGCTTCAGAACTGGGAAGCAATGAAGAGTTACTTCAATAGTATTCCCAACTGTCCAAAAATATTATCTAACATTTTCATGAAAGATGACCCAGAGGAAGCAGTGTTGCCTGAAATCTACTAATTTCTTAAGTAATATTTGAAGTCAGCTGGAAATGGTAGATAAAACACTGGAAAGGTCTGACTTAAGTGTACTAGAGACTTACAAATTAAGTTTGCAATCGACAGATTAGATGTTGATGTTGAAAGTGTAGTCTTAAAGATATATAATCACTTCTCTGTCTCTGCCAAAAGAAGAGAAGAGTTAAAATCATTCTTTGAGTTTCTGAATTTGGAGTGGACTGAGATTTTGAGGCATGTTCGAACTAGGTGGCTGTCATTAACACCAGGCATTTCTCGACTGCTTCAGAACTGGGAAGCAATGAAGAGTTACTTCAATAGTATTCCCAACTGTCCAAAAATATTATCTAACATTTTCATGAAAGATGACCCAGAGGAAGCAGTGTTGCCTGAAATCTTCTAATTTCTTAAGTAATATTTGAAGTCAGCTGGAAATGGTAGATAAAACACTGGAAAGGTCTGACTTAAGTGTACTAGAGACTTACAAATTAAGTTTGCAATCGACAGATTAGATGTTGATGTTGAAAGTGTAGTCTTAAAGATATATAATCACTTCTCTGTCTCTGCCAAAAGAAGAGAAGAGTTAAAATCATTCTTTGAGTTTCTGAATTTGGAGTGGACTGAGATTTTGAGGCATGTTCGAACTAGGTGGCTGTCATTAACACCAGGCATTTCTCGACTGCTTCAGAACTGGGAAGCAATGAAGAGTTACTTCAATAGTATTCCCAACTGTCCAAAAATATTATCTAACATTTTCATGAAAGATGACCCAGAGGAAGCAGTGTTGCCTGAAATCTTCTAATTTCTTAAGTAATATTTGAAGTCAGCTGGAAATGGTAGATAAAACACTGGAAAGGTCTGACTTAAGTGTACTAGAGACTTACAAACAAATGAAACTTCTCAGTTCTAAAATCCAGCAGAGAAGGAAAGACAACTTCTTTGGTAGCAAAGCAAAAAACTCATTAACGGATTGTCTATGCCATTACAGAAAAAGGTTACTGAAGACCTGAACAGCTTTTTTAGCAATATGCTTCAGTATCTGCAAAAAAGATATGATGTGAGAGATGACAATCCCTATGCATCCCTTGCAGCATTTCCTCTACAGGAAGGGACTGAGTTCAAAGATTTTGAAAAAGCCATAGAAGTGATTCAGCTAAGTGAAAATGTTTGCATTGATGACCTGTACGAGGAGTTCACTAGCCATCGAGATTACCTCTGCAACAGTGTGAACAGATATGGTGATTATGTAGCAAACTGACTTACGTTTTTTTCTTCAGTACCTGAGCATGATGTACCAAATATTTCCAAAGTGGTAGGATTTTTGTTTAGCATCCCTGGCTCAAATGCTTTTGTGGAGCGAATCTTTTCATTCATGAAAAGTAAGTGGAGTGACACAAGAAACAGATGCTCAACAGATTTAATCAAGGCAGAACTCCAGGAGACAGTGAACTATGAAAGCAAGTCCTGTTCAGAATTTTATAAATTTTCAATTATTAAATTAAATTAAATTTCAATTATTAAAAAGTGCTAAGAGTTCAGTGAAATACAATTAACAGAATCTGATTGACCAGCCCTTGAAAGTTATAAATATGTAGTATTTAATATTTGTGTGTTCTACAAATGTGTGCTAGGTAATATTTTGTGCATTCTATAAATATGTAATAGGGCTATGTAATATTTGTTTTGTTCTATAAATGTGTAGTAGCATTTTGTAAGTTATGTAGTATGTTGATTATGTATATTTTATAGCCTATTAGTTGTGAAAAATGTTGTTATATACAAGCAACGAGACATCACTCCTTTTTTTATTTTACAAAATCTGGCAACCCTACCTGAGAGTCCATCTGGATGCAGTGGTGTAGTGAGAAATGTCTTGTCCAAGAACAAAGGAAGTTTTAAAATTATGTTAATACTTTTCTCAACATTGCACAGATGCATTCTTATATCTAAATCCATTTCATGAGTTCCTGCCAAGATATGAAACTCATTATTCAGTTTATTTACTTGACTCATAATGCCAATGCTATATAGTTTCAATATTGAAAAGCACTGTTAAATTTCCCATGAGACAAAGCCCAAATCTTAATGGAATCACATTTCTGCAGTTGCAGCGTTTATGTGGGCGACGTGCAAAGAGGCAACAGCAAGACATGCAGCTCATTGAAGTTAATGGGGCTACAATAATGCCTGACCCTAAAGAGTGGTTTACCAAACAAATGACACAGGAGCAAGAAACTAAAATTCATAGTCACAGTCACAGGAAGAATGATGGTCCTACAACACAGCAACGACGAAAACATCAAATCACTTATCTTGCTTTCCAGGTATGGATAAAAACTGGTTGAAGATTGTTTATTATTTACTTCATTCTTGGTTTATTTAATGTGTTCAGTTGCTCAGATTATATAGTGTCAAATGATGGGATAATTAGTGCATCATCAGAAAAGATACAGGATTGCGGACTACATTGGTTATCTGCCTGGAGGGACTGAGGAAAACCACATACTTTACATGGACAATTGTCTCTCCTTTCCAGATATATTTGATAATCCGCACACAAGAGCTACTGGCTGCTTGAATATGTTAGTGAAAATAAAAAAAAAAATGCCATGGGGTTTTGGCAGTAAGATGCTATAAGTGAAATGGGGTCACACACATGGTGTGGTGAGAGGTAACTTAACGGCAAGATATTTACATACTGAAGACTGTGCGTGAACCACCATGGGAAGGCAGATTCTATAATAGCCATTAAGCGTTCAGTTCGTTGGACCATATTGAATGGCCAAATGTTGCAATCAAGCAGGTACCATTTCCACTTCATACTTGGAGGTTTCAGGTTAAGACCTTGGCCAAGGGGCCCGCTATCGTAAGGTTTTCAGTTTTCCTCAGTGCCTCCAGGGCAGTGCTGGCACAATATCTCACTTTAGGCCACAACAGTTTCCTTCTGCATCCCTTCCAATTCATTACTATATCATTCCAAGATACAGCCTAAGCTAGTGACAGCATCACTAAATAAACCATAAATAAATGAGTGCATAATATTATCTTGCAGTAGCATACTAGGCCACTGAAAATTTCATGTGACTTGGGTTCAAAATTTGTTGGAAATTAGTGCAAAAGAACCTTGTTCTCAGTCCATCTCAAGAGGGAAATGAAACCCACAAGCCCATCAGATGCTTGAGCTGTAGGATCCTATTTGTGGTGTCTCAGCCAAGAAGAAACAAATGACTGTCAAATGTATAGCTTCAATTTCAAAGTACATTGATGTGTCTGTAACTCAAACAATACAGACCTTTAACCCCTCAAGCGTGTGCGATGCACCATATGCGTCCGCTCAGTTACATGCATCTAGCGTGAATTTAAATCCCTCCCGGTGCTTTATTTTCGCAAGCATTGAAGGTTTTGTGCAGACATTTACCTAAATATTTTTAAATAACAAAATCGCTATTTGAAAAATTCCAAAAAATTATATTATATTTACAGTTGTTTACGGTTCATTATTATAAATGTGTACTCACATTTTGTCAAGCTATTTCTTTTTCCCAGCTCTCCATATCCAGTGTCTAGTAGTTGATCTTGGTGTGGTATTGCTCAAAACAGGGGTCTAGGCAGAGAGACAGTGTCCCTGGGCAGTTTTTACACCCGTATCTGGTTTCTTTTCTCTTTCTGTTTTTTGTACACACCATACACCTTCTTCTTCCAGCTTTATAAGTTTCGGTTTTGGGATTTTCTTGAATGAAATGCTGACCCATCAATCTCGTACATTCCATGTCGGTATCTGAAGGACGCCCTTTGCGCTTTTCTATATTCTGTCCATGGGACTTTGCTATGATCTTATTCACTAAGTTTATTCTGAATAACAGATGATCTTTCTTGTTCCCAGCCTTGCAGTACAGAACGTAAGCGTTAAACACTACCATATTTACTAAGTGGTTGAATAATTTCTTGTACCACGCTTTTTGCCTTTTCCTTTCTAGCAAGAATGTTTCTAGTAGCTGATCTTTCAAGTCTACACCTCCCATATATTTATTATACTCTATTACATACATAGGTTTATTTACAAATTCTAACCCACCCTTTCGACGTACGGGTTGCATTTCGTCTGAATGTTTAGTATTCAGCACGGAGACATTGCGCTTATCCTTCCACTTCAATGCCACCAATTTCCCACACTTTGCACTAACTACTTCTCCTTTCTTCAGTTTCTTTTTTAGATTTATTGGCATACCTTTGCATGTGATTTTCACTGTTCCAACAGCATCTGTTGTCCTCTGAACTAATCTCTGGAAAAGATCAGGACTGCTATAAAAGTTGTCAATATAAACACATCTGCCCGAGTCTAGTAGTTTCTCGCACAAACTTAGAACTTTTATTGAGAAAAGATCTGTGTCTTTGGTGATTTCACAGCCTAATTTTGTCCCTGATCGACTGTAAATTATAAAATTCCACAAATATCCTGCGGAATCACAAAGTTCAAAAATTTTAATCCCAAACCGGGAAGCTTTCATAGGAATATACTGTTTCCATGAAAGTCTACCTTTCCACAATAACAAAGATTCATTGACACTTACTTCTGTGCACGGTATGTACACTTTCTGGAACTTATTTTTCAAATATTCACTAACCAGAAGAATTTTGTACAATTTAGGATCTCTTTTTGCAATTTCCTTATTGGTGTTATCTACAAAATGGAGAAATCTGGTCAGCAATGAAAACCTTTCTTCACTCATTACATTGGGAAAAAATGGTGTTTCTAACATATGTTTCCTACTAAAATACATCCTGAGGTTTGGTTTCTGAATTATTCCCATCAGCATAAGCAAACCTAGGAATACCCTAACTTCATTCGAAGTTGTAGGAACCCACTTTTGAAACCGTGATTTCTTTCGGGTCAGCATTTTTTCTTTCTGATGAGCAAGAAACTTTTCCGCATAACGGTTTGTTTCATTCACTATCATCATAATCAGATCATCATCAAAAAATAACTCAAAATATCCCAGAGGATCATCTGCACACTGAACTGGCACTATTTGTTTCCCAACTAAATCACACGCAAAAGGTAGAGGAGGATTAGCACCATCGACCTCTTCCCAAGCATTATCTGGAGTATTGAGAGAAAACTAAGGTTCTTCCTCTTCCTCTTCAGAACTGGAATCGAGAGTATATCCACATGAACCCACAGAGTTTGTATCCGAATCTACTGAACAGTTTTCATCCAAAAGATCAAGCACTTGTTCATCAGACAAGTTATGAGAGCAAGATGCCATGGTGAACTAAATACCTCAGCTAAGGGACGGTCCCAAGGCAGAAAAGAAATAAATGCTGACATAGGCATCTGGCAACCTTGCCAGGCAACCTCAATCCCTAGGTTCGTAACATCGTAAATAAGACACCAGATTCTTCCCTTGTTTCCTATTAAAATACATTCTGAGGTTTGGTTTCTGAATTCCCATCAGCATAAGCAAACCTAGGAATACCCTAATTTCATTCGAAGTTGTGGGAACCCACTTTTAAAAGCGTGATTTTGTGTCAGGGGCAAGAAACTGTCCCGCCAGACAAGTTACGTAACCAAGATGCCATGGGGCTCTGCTAAGAGTGTGTCGCAAGGCAGAAAAGAAATAACAAATTCATAAATATTGATACAGGCGTCAGGCAACTTCAACCCCTAGGTTCGTAACATTGTAAATCAGACACAGCTGCTTTGTCGCCAGTAAGCCAAGCCAGTAAAAAAAAAAAAAAAAAAAAAAAACACAGAGACACAAACACAGACAAAAAGCACTCAATGAAAGTTAGCTAACAAATTATCTCTCTGAAAGCAATTCGGAGTGTGAGTGGGAACAATTCTTTCGTAAGCAGCAAACACCAGATGCTTTGTCCCAAGTAAAGCGAGTAAAAAAAATACCACACAAACAGATAGCGAGGAATGAAAGAAGTCGGTATTAGCTCACATATACATTCACTGGAAGTACATACATCAGAGTGTAGGCGTTAAGAATTCTTAGTGAAAAGTATGGATGCAACATATGAGGCGCGCACACTTACAGCACGGGTTTGAGCGGACGCAGATGTTGCGTCGCACACGCTTAGGGGTTTAAATGTCTGTGCTTAAAGTCAGGCTCAAGAGGTTAATAAATGTAGTAGTAAAAGCTGAATGAGGGGATCTGGTAACGGACTACACTGCATTTGTGTGAATTTCATTACTCTCTTGTCCCTGGCTGTTTTTATTGGAAATTTGAAGGTATTCTCTGTTACCTGATCTCAAAATTACAGTACAATTCCCATTTAGTGTGCCTTGTGCTGAGTATTTAGGTTTCTTACACCCAAGAGAAACTATTAATTTTACTGTTTAAAATACAGCTTTTTCAGAAAAGGTGCTCAGTACACAGTCATTAATGTGGCTTAAACATACACAAATAGCACTTCCAATTTAGAGGCTTCATTTATGTGTGCAGAAAAAGTTCCCCATTATCTTCCTTATTACTTTTTACATCTTGTGAAGTATTTCTATAAAATATGTTATTACCTTAAACCACCATGTCCTTATATTGAACCACACTTGTGGAGAAAGTCAAAAGTCAGAGGTTGCCCACACATCTAACTTAATCCTCTCTTTGAGACAATTGCAGTGTTATTATGTGAAAGAAGTTGTCATGTCATGCAGTATGCCATTGCAAGGAGAGTAGGAATTAAAGGTTTCAACATGCAACAAGAACACAATAACCACCAAACATTTGGTTTAAAGCAGGATATGTCTTTAACCCATTTGCAAATTATATAGAACCTATATCAGTTTAACCTCCAGAAATAGAGTTTTTTTAAACTCGTGATAGAGACTTATCAGTGATGAATTAATCTGAAATTCTGATGTAAACACTGAAGCAGATCTGTAAAGTACAGGATATAAAATAATTTATACTAATGGGAACAACATTTATATTTTGTTCCCCCCTTTTTAGATTTCAGTGTTCAAGCTGGACATGACATCCCCTGAGAACTATTAAAGTAGTTCTTTTTCAATAGGAACATGATAAAGATTATTTACTGCATGCATTCAATCCATATAGGCACTTTAAGTAGTAAAAATGTCTGTTGGACAAATTAGCCAAGTTTCATTTGTTTGTGGCTTTTGTTCCAGGCAAAAGAAAATGAGCTGGAACTGAAGAACCAGTGGTCCCAAAATCGGATGTCTCGCAAACAAACACAGTCTAAATATGGTTTCTAATAACTTGTGTATTATGTGTTTCTTGGCTCATCTTTTGGTTGTCTTAAGTCCCAGGATGCTTGCTGTCGAGGCACAGACATCAGACTTGCAGTCAGTTGTCTGTGTTTTACGAGCTGAGTCTGTATTTGCTGGTCAACATGTATGGATTTCTGTTTAAGCTGAGCCAACAGTTCCTGCGCCTTTGCCAAATCTGGTGGAAGTCCTTCATATTTTTGAAACTTCTGTCTTAATTTGGCACATTCATTTTTCATCTGTGCGATGGCTTCCACTCTCTCCTGTATGGTTCTGTGGTGTACTGAAACACCTAGTCTCTGTAGTTCAGCCTGTGATAAAATGGTATACAAAGGTTTAGACAATGTGGACAAAAGTACATTATATACCGGAATGATACAGCATTAAAGAAAAAAGAATACCTTGAGCTTTTCTAATGTGTTCTTATATTCTTCCATCTTATGTTGAAGAAACTGAGTTTCAATAACCTTCCCTTTCATTGCCTTTCTGAAGTCCTCCTGTTCTTTCCTTGCAGACTGAATATCCCTATGAAGTAAAGAGCAAACTTTTATAATTACAGAATGATAACTCTTGTACATGATTCCATTTTCTGATCTTTTATCTACAGTTTTTGTAAACTATAAAATTGTCATAAATAAATTCTTTTGGAAGAAAGCTACACTTGAATGGAACAACTTTATTGGGTAATTGTACAGATTTGTGTTGTCAGTGTGATGATCAGGAAATCTGCAACATCTGAATGGACAGTTTAAACCTCATACCGATTTTTGGCTTGTTCACAATTCAGAATTATAAAAATGTTCCTATAAATATGAAGTTGGATACTGGGAGGTATACTAACATTTGTTGATCCATTCCAGTTCAATTAACGTCAGACAAAAATAATGGACATTACACAAAAGCTACATATTCATACACACATCTCTAGCACATCCCACTGAGTACTTATTAGGGTAAAAAATATTTCATACAAAAGTTGTACTCATACATAAAAATGAAACACTCATTTTATGCCACATACACTTTCGGAAGTCTTGTGTGTTCCTCCCCCCCCCCTTAACGGATAAGTGAAAGGGACTCTTATTCTGTTAAAACCTGAGAACCACTGGACTGATTTTGATAACATTTTGTATTGGAGGTTCTTGAACAAATTCACTGACTTTTCTCAAATTTGATATAGACAGGCAGTGGTACTTTACATAACCAAATTACCACACCACTAGTAATAAAGGACTAATTTATAACTAAAGTATTCATCTAATATTTTAAAAATTGGAACTCTGATTATCTATAAGGGAAGCTACAATGTTGTCCACTATACCAATCAAGAGAAACGCGAGTTTATGAGATCTCACATGCATACATGCATGCCCTTTCAATGATGTATTTGCAATTAAAATGCATAAGGCTGTACTACAGATCAGGGCTGTTCAACTTGTGTGTGATCAGGTGGTCTTGTGGCCCATGAGAGTATCTTTCCATTCCCCGAAATGTGTCAACACTCGATCCGTTTAAAAATGCAGCAAATCTTGCTTAAAAATAAAAAAATGCCTTCTATAAGTTAATATTCCTTAACCATTCCCCCTTTAATTTAGTTGCACTTTTCAGAATCCTACGTTGAGTTCTTTAAGAAAAAGTTTCTGCACTTTTTATTTTACAGATGATTACAAAAGCATCCTACTTTTCAACACATTTTTCACAGCATCCTACCAACTTCTTAATGCTCTCATAATAGAAAGTCATTGGTTGAGCATGTAGCCACTGTTGCACCGTGTTCTTTACATCCTCATCACATCAAGATCTTCTCCCTCCTACAGCTTCTTTAAGCATCCAAAGAGATGAAAATCAGATGGCGCCAAATATGGACTGCAAGCTGAATGTTCCATTGCTTCCCATTTTAATTTCCTGAGCATTTCCAATGTGTGGGCCACAGAATGGGGACAGGCATTGTCATGCAACAACAGGGCACCCTCTAACAGTCTCCCACTTCTTTTAGAATGTATTGCAGGCTTCAGCCCTGTCTGAAGCATGTCACAATATGTTGCACTTGTGACAGATGTTCCACATTCTAGTTAGGTAGGTCTCAAGAATAGACCTTTGAAAATCCCAGAAGATGGTCAACATCAGCTTGCCTGCCGATGATTGCATCTTGAATTTCTTTGCAACAGGAGATGACGGATGCTTCCATTGCATGCTCTTCCACGTGGTTTCTGGTTGATAGTGCTGACCCAGGTTTCATCACCTGTGATGATCCATTGGAGAAAGTTGTCACCTTCTTCATGATAATGAGCCAAGTGACAGGAACAGATGTCTAAGCACATGCAGTTATGCTCATCTGTCAGTTCCTGTCCAGGTACCCACCTGGCATACACTTTATGGAACTGAAAGTTATCATGCATCACAGAATAGGCAGACCCAATGCTAATAATATTCAGTTTCCTAGCTCCTCCTTCATTGTGGTATTGTGGCTGTGACTGTATGACCTGAGCGCTCTGCAGCAGTCACACTCGTACAGCTATTTTTAAACATTTCAATCCACTCATACACAACTCTACAAGAAAGGGCACTGTCCTCATACTGAGCGCACAAGCACTGATGAATTTGTCCACCTGGTACACATTCCCCCCCACAAAAAATGTATCACAGATAGTTGCTCCTCCTTGGTGCAATTCCAAAGTTTTGCTGCCATGTTCACTACTTCATGGAAACTCTCACACTAACTGCAAGGTCAACAGGCTTGCCTTGATGACTAGTCACATGACACCCTACAACACCCCCACCCCTCCTGCTCTTTCCATTTTCTTCGAAGATATAAAAGTGTGGAAACTTTTTGAAGATACCTCATAGAAAGCCACACCTTAAACTTCTAACCCCTAAAATATGAGCAGTCCATCTGTCAGCCTCAAAGGCCTTACCACAGCAAGCATAGTTGTAGATGGCTCCAAATTCAAATCGTAAATGTCCAATCATTCAGCAAGCAAAGTTGAGGGTACAGGCAGCTAAACAGTGGGTAGAAACAAATATGATTTTATGTTTTCGGACATTATCCATCGTCTTGTCTCTATCTAAGAACTGTCCTGTTTATTTTTCAAAACACAACGTTCTGGAGACTGGATTCTGTCTCCGCCTTCAAGCAAGTGTTCAGAAAGGCTGCTACAGGCTGTTTGAGAAAATGTAATATGGAACCCATTACCTGGAAAACCTGGGACCAAAGGCTTTCCAGATTTTGGAATTTTCTGGGTTTTTGATCACTTTGCCAAAAAAATTATCACATGTAAATTCAAAAATTAAAAACATATACTAACATTTTCTGTACCTAAAAAGTGCTTGAAGTTGAACATTGAGGGCCAGAATTATAATTCTTGTCAGCAAAACAATCTTAATCTTTCTAAACATGTCTTGCAAATCAAGTTTCATGCCTCTAAAACTTTTTTTTTCTTTTTGTATAAATCATCTAGTATTTTATATACCTATATATGTTCCTCAGAAACACTGTCTAAAAACTTCCAGATTTATGGATTCCAAACAAGCAGTCCCATACTGCAATATCCACTGAGCTGGGCAAGGCACAGCTCAACTGCAATAGCAGTGACAGTGAAAAGCCAGACATAGTGTATCAGCAAGTTTACTAAACAAGACTGTCGCATCACAACATTGAAATGACAATGATATTGGAGAATTATCAACCATAAATATGATAATTCTGATATTCTTAGACTTTTGCAGTATCCCAAATGTGACAAAAGGAGAACAAAAAGACATCCAAATCTCACATGTTATTGACTTGATCAGATATTTTTCATTTAACACTATCAACTGCTGATGTCATACAGCATCAAATGACAGGATCTTATCAGTTTTGAATTATGACATACATGAAAGGAGGTGATGACAATGTTCTACCCAGGGCTTGTCTTCAGACTGGAAAAATATCAGTGAGAAACCCAGCCTTCTTCAGATATTCAGTCTTATGAAGCCAAAAGTGAGGATTTTCTGTCACACACATTATCAAAGATGAATAAAAATGGGTTCCCCACTATGATCCCAAAACAGAATAATCTCTGGATGCTCTATACATGGTCAGGAAAATAAGTTTTGACTCTAGTTTTTTAAGAATGTATATTAAGAGCTAGCGATACCAGCAACCTAGAATTTTTCAAAGTAATCTCCCTCCAATTCTTTACCATGTTCCCAGCACTTCAGCTATTGTTCAATAATTTTTAAATCCTGAATAGGGATATCTGTGAAAATTTTCTTCACAGATGATTTAATGTCTTCAACGTCCAAGGAACGCTTTCCTTTCAACATGTTCTTGAATTTTGGAAGCAGTCAGAAGGAGCCAAATCAGGGAAGCGGCATATGATCCATGGCAAAGATGCCTTTTCCTGCTAAAAACTGCAACACCTGAAGCAAAGAATGTGCCAGCACATTGTTGTGGTGAAGAATCAATGAGTGATCCCTTCACAACTCTCCTCACACCTTACAGCATCAATAAGCCTTTTCAACACCTGCACATAGAATATCTTATTAAGAGTGGTCCCTCTGGGTATAAATTCAAAGTAGATATAACCCTGATGTCAAAAAAGCAGATCAACACTGTTTTGATCTTGGACTTTGACATCCGTGATTCTTTTGCCTGGGGGATTTCTTCAATCTCCACTCCACAGACTAGCTTTTGGCCTCAGAATCATACTGAAAACACCATGTTTCATCACCAGTGATGACATGATCCAAAAAATTATCTTCTTGAAGTTGTTCTGCACAGTCCATCCACAAAGTGAGATGTCTGTCCTTTTGTTCTTCTGTCAAGTTTTGCGGCACAAGCTTCACTGATAACTTTCTCATGCCAAGAACCTGTACTAAAATGTTCCTAACAATTTCTTTGTTTTTATCAAGTTCATCAGCTATCATCCTGCAAGTTCTTCAGTGGTAAGATTGCACAAGTACTGATTTTTGCAACATTTTTGTCCGTTCGCTTCATTACGGGAGCTACTGCCCTTTCATCATCATTCACATCTTCTCTACCTTCTCTGAAACGTTTGTGCCACTTAAAACATAACTCTTTCTCATAGCAGATTCACCATAAACGGTTTCTTAACATCTCCAACACTTCACTTGGCGATTTCAGCGGTTTAACAAAATGTCACATTCACTCTCTGTTCTGTTTTCATGTCTAAACAAGGTCGATGACAAGTGATCTAACAAGCAACTGTTCAACAAATACTCAATGCAGCTTATCCAAAGTTTCCATGTGAGCTCTGTCTTGTTGGATCACCTAACAGTCAAAGTACTAGTGTTGCCAGATTGCCTAACGTGAAATTAAAAATGAGTCTCAAAACTTATTTGCCAGAACTTGTACATAACAGCAATATTCATAATGCAGCCATTTGTTGATGATGACATGATGTCTGTTTTAAGACAAAAAATATGTCCTGATTATGAAATTTCTACCAACGGGTGCCACAATTAACCCTCAGCAGAATGAAACTAAAATGCCACATCCAAAGAACTTGTCCTGAACAAAACACAAATCAGAAACTTCACTTTCATTAGTGCCCAACTTCAAATTATCACACACAGGAGACAGGTACAGTAAACTGTGGGCCATCCTTACCCATTCCACTCATAACAAGGATCCTCTACCATTAGGTCACAGGTCTCTTTGGCTTGTTAAAGATAAGGGAGAAAAATTTTGAGAAAAGGAAGGATTTAATGAAGATCTGTAACTGGTTCTGATACTTTGACAAACTGCACAAAACTAGTTTACTGTGCTCAGTTCAAGTCAGCAAAAATGTACACACTGATACTGCACCAAAAATAATCTCTCACGCATGTCAAATATGTATGTGTATTCCCTGTAAATGCAATTTTACATTTTGGAAAGCTTAGAATATACTAAACAACTTTACCAGTTGTTCTGTATGGATGTGAAAGGTGTATTCTTACTTTGAGTGTAAAATGTAACTTAAGCATTTCAAAAGAGTAAGCTCAGGAAAATATCTGGTCATAAGAAGGCCATGTGAGCAATGTAGGATTTATATGCCTAAGTATTTCTTTATTTATGCACATCTCCTAGTGAAATCTAAGTACTACAGTGTGCTGACCATACACTAGTATGGGGGAAACAATGAATGCATACAGATTTTAGTGGGGGAATTGCTTGGAAAATGTCTTAAATGGAAGACTGAGGAGATGGTAAGTGCATAACACAAGATCAAAATTGTGCCCAATGGCGGATTTTGGTATTAACACTGTTACCTCCAAGTTGTATTACCACAATGTTAGGAGGGGAAAGAAGCCAGTCCTCGTAACTGAGATACAGTGGAACCTCGCTTAATGAGCACCTCTTATAATGAGTAATTTGCATAACGAGCAAAACAATTTGTAAAAAAAATTACTCTTAACAAGCAACGTTTCGCATAATGAGTGACGAGAAGGGAAGTCCCGGATTGTGCGCTTGCTACATCAGTCTGTGTTTAGCACTCGTTCCGCTAGTATCTTAGTGTTGCTTGTGATCACACATTTTTCCAGACTTGTGTTCAGACATATTATTTGTGATTCTTTTATTGTGCAAAGTTTAACCCTTTCAAAAATGTCCCCAAAGAAAAAGCCGCAAAAAGACAGCCATAAGAGAATAAAAATAACCGTACAAATGAAACGTAAAATCATTGAAAAGCGAGAACGAGGTGTGAGCGTGGCTGATCTAGAACGCACATACAATCGGTCTACATCAACAATTTGCATGATTAAGCGTTGCACTGTGTTTCACAGCAAGAAGTTGTGGAGGAGAGTTTGTCAGAGGAGGAGGAGGAGGAGGAGGAGATAACAGCAAGGCAACAATCTTCTGGCGCAATAAGAGAAATGCTGAAATCATGGGAAACTGTTGCATCGTAAAGTGAGAAGCATCACCCTAATAAGGCAATGGCTATGCGCGCTACAAATTTATTTAATGATAATGCTGTGTCGCATTTTCACCAAATTTTGAAGCGTTGGCAAAAACAAATGTCTCTAGACAGCTTTCTAGTAAAAAAGAATTAGATATGTATCATAAATAATAAACTAATTATTTTGATTTTTTTTTCTGCAAATCGAATTCGCATTCAAGGTTGCTTCATTCCGCACACACGAAAACATGAAGATGATTCACACTCCTTAACAATGTATATATAATTTTCTTTGAATAAACATTATACATAAAATGTTTTGAGTATTTTTTTCAGAATGGAATGCATTATCGTATTTTACATTAATTTATATGGGAAAAATTGTCGGTTAACGAGTGTTTTGCATTACGAGTAAGATTCTGGAATGAATTATGCTCGTTAAGCGAGGCTCCACTGTATCTTAAACACGAATACAATGCTAGTAGCAGTAGTAAAAACCACTTCACCACAGCAAGTGTAACTATCATCTGATGTGCATCAAATTTGAAGCCATAACGAAGGAAGCCGCATGGGGCCGCGCCATAGCTCAAGCGGTTAGTCGCTGGCTACCCACCACGGCGGCCCGGGTTCGATCCCTGGTCTGGTCAAGTGGGATTTATGGTGAACAAAGTGGCACGGGGGCAGGTGTTCTCCAAGTACTTCAGTTTCCCCTGCCAATCTTCATTCCACCAATTACTCACCTATCATCTGGGGCTGGTACAACAGGTCAGAAGTGGCCACAGTACAAGAGACTTAGTCCCACCCCACTAGCAACAAAAAAGGGAAGCCGCATAACTGGCCAAATTTAAGGTATCCATACAAATTGGCTATGAATATTAATATACTGAAACTTCAATTATACAATCCCAGATTTTACGTATTTTGCCAATTTACACATATTTTGCATGGGCCTGGCCAAATGTCCATAACATAGATGTTAAACTGTAATGGATTTTATGTTTTCTCAACTTCAAGTTTTCCCTGAATTTGCACTTCATTTTCTAGTCATAACTATGAAAATTTATCTGATTTTACATTTTGTACTTCATTTCTTATAATTTCTTATTCAAGGTAATGAGGCTCCTTCCCTGTCAGCAGTCAAAAATAGTTCAGTCTGAAAATCAAGTTGCTGATGCATAGCTGCAAGTGATTCATATGCACCATTTTGACTTCACTGAGGGCTATTGTGCATGAGGGGATTTTCTGCAGCTGTAGTCCAAGCATCTTGTGCATTAGTCCAATTTTGATCTTGCTGTGTCTCAGTATAACTGTAACTAAACAAGAGCAGCATATCTCTCTCTCATGTCTGATGTGTGTTCCAAAACGTGACTACTACAACATAGAAAAAATGTTTTCATAAGTGAAACGTCCACTAGAAATGCATTCAGATTAAATTCTTTAATCTCCAAATGCCCACGCGACTTCACTCCGTACAGACCAATTTTTAACGTTAAGATGAATTTAACAGAAGATAAAATATGGATAATCGAGGAAAATGGAAATCATTTATAATAAGGGATAAAATAAATATTTTTGCTCAATACATATTGGCACACGTGTTGAATTGGCACTATGCTTGACACTTTCAAGTGTCCCTCCTAAACATTACTGTGAAGAATCATTTAGAAACTGAAAGAAGTTACATCCAGTGTGCACTTTTCTCCAAGCATCACAAATGACTTAGACATTTGCCACTGGAGAAACTGGAATCTGCACTTGCTATGTGGTTCAAACAAGCATGAGAGAGTAATGCTTCTGTAAATGGCGGCCACATCAAGGACAAGTCCTCGCACATTGCCCCTCATCTAGGAATAGCCAACTTTTTGGCTTCCAATGGATGGAACAGATTAACATCAGACACATTGTTTACAGAACTCTTTATCAAGTGAGAACAGAGTGTTGATCCAGAAATTGTAGAAGACTGGAAAAATTACTAACTATTGCAAGAAATTGAAGTTTATGACCTCGTAATGCTAATGAGACTGGTCTATTTCTCAGTCTACAATCTAGCAAAACCTTCACTTTTTAAGGGGTTTTTACCATAAAATCTGAACAGTAGCTTACTGTACTCCTTGCATGCAATGCTGATGGCAGTGGAAAACTGCCACCTCTCAGAAAGCATGAAAGTCTACGTTGCTTCAAGAATGTCAAGAGACCACCTACAAAATATGAAGCTAATACAAATTCTTCAATGACCACCAAAACATTTTAAGATTACCAAACACAACTAAATAGAAAACTGGTTGCTAAAAATCACGCAATTTTGCCTTTCATTGATCAGTTTGCTGCTCATCCAAAGAACACATTTCTCAACTTAATTAAGTACCAACCTTTCCAACTCTGCAACTCTCTGTTTCTCTGTAGACAGCTGCCACAATTTATTTTGAAATTGCAGTTTTTTTCTTGAAAGGCGAGATTCTTCCATTACCATCCTTGTATTCTGAAGAACTATGTTAGTTGGGGTTGCATCATTAATGTTCAAAGCCTACAACACATAAATTTCATAAATATACGTCATAAGGAAATGAACGTAAGATACATTGTATCTTTTTTCTTAGAGCCATCTGAAAATGGCCTCATTTTATATTCAGTTTATAGTTAACATATTTTATGATTTCATATACACCTGATATTGAAAGCATCAACTTTAAGTTTACACTAAACAGTACACTTTTGTGGGTGCTGGAACTTGATGTGTTAAAAGATATCTAGAACTGGCTGAGTGTCTGAAAATACTCAGTTGCCTCACGTCCAGTGACTGAGACCCAGCTAAGTAGGTGCATCCCAACCTTTAACATGTGGACATTAACGGAATGACTTTCCAAAACTTGGTGTTTTTAGAATACTAGATGATCAACATAGTTCAGATACTCAGTAATACTCAAGAAGTAAAATTTTAATGTTTGTTTAAATGCTTAGGTTTTTACAGCAGGAGCTTAACACGTGACTTCAATTCTTGGGACTAGGCTACAGTGAATGTTGAGGGTATTAATGGATTTTGGCAAACCTTGAGTCACCACCTTCAGGGTAAATGACTGTGGGAGTTTTGGCAGCTTTTATATGGCTCTCGCATTACACTGTCAGAGATAAAGTCATGATGCATGAACAGAGTAGCAGGATACTAACCAAGAGGGACTGACAATATGGTCAGTTGCAACCAGTTGGTTAGCATCCCACTTCTAATCACAACTTAAGCAGCGTCTACACGAGCGCATAAAATGCATCCGTTGTAACGAACGTACTTTGCTGAGGACACCACAGTTGCAGAATGAGGAGCGTAGTTTTCTTGTCTGCAATGGAGCCAGAAGAAAGCGTAGCATTCGCCTCTCTTGTTTATTTCGACAATGGACGTCACGATGTTCGTTACAACAGACGCATTTTGTGCACACATGTAGACGCTGCCTTAAACAATAATAGATGGAAAACACTGAATAACTTAACTCCTGCACAGTACACTTCTTTCTGATAGCTACTAAAATTAGCATTTGGCCTACAGATCTTATATATATATATACAGAATAGTTTAACAAGTTTACCATTTTTCACCTTGTCAGTAAACTTTCACTCTCATTACTATGGATAACATGGAAAAGTTTCAAACAAATTCTAATATAAACATAATAAACACATATATATATATATACATGGAAAACTTTAAAACAAATTTATGTTTATATCAGAATTTGTTTGAAACTTTTCCATGTTATCCATAGTAATGAGAGTGAAAGTTTACTGACAAGGTGAAAAATGGCAAACTTGTTAAACTATTCTGTACAAGAGACTCTCTTTTTAACATCTGTCATTCTGTTTGTTAAGTATCAATTATTATTATTATTCAAGTTCATATTAATGGAGGAACAGTATGAAAATATATTGTAATGTGTTGGGTATGTGTCACGTGATAAATAACTTCACGCCATCTTTGATCTAGCGAATTTATTTGACTCGCTCACACGCACACAATTCACAATTACAATTACTGCCATCAGCAGTATCACAATTACATCCACCGCTCTCGGTGACTGCTAGACTTCTGCTGCACTCGGCGACTTCACGATCCACACTGTGTCATTCCTGATCACACACTCTCGCTCACATGCTGCTCACCCGGCTTTCTATACTGTTCCGTTGCCTCGTGTTACCAGCGTTGTCCCCTGTTACATCACAGTGGGAAGTGCTGTTACGTCACCGCGGGGGAGGGGAGCAGAGTGTTGACTGGCCTGTTACCGTAGCAGTGACAGCGCTCCGATCTTGTTACATCACCGCTGGTGGGGGAGGGGGGTGTCCTGCATAGCACAATATGTCACACTGCTCCCTTCTTAACACTTCGCGGACTGGACGCCTAGGCCTAGGCGCTTGGGTTTTAAACGTGGCAGACCAGTCGCCTAAGTTGCAACACGCTATACATCGCTCTGGCACCACTTTAATTGCACGCAACTGCCTGCAAATGTGTGATAAGACTCTGGAATGTTTAGTTAGCAGTCAGTAACTTGACCTCGCTGTTTACTTAACCGACTATAAAGGAAAATGCTTTGCCTTCTTCAAGCTGTGTGTATCAGCCAGTAGGTAGTGGGGAGAATGGATCAAGGACAAATTCTCCTCCAAAGACCTAGCTGACCTGGCTTGTGTGTGAGACGCGTAGTAATGGTGATTCAGAGAGCGGCAGTGACAGGGGAGAACAAAGAATTGTGGCCACAGACAGTAAAAGTGACAGTAGCTCCGACAATAATGCAGGTAATAACATTGCGCGTAGTAACATTGCGGGAACAGCAAAAATCTAAAAAAAATCTAGACCCTGATTCAAAATTGAAATACAAAACGTTTCTGATGAATGTGGCAAAGGCTTGGGCTACAGATGAGATGGTAGCGAAAGAACCAGAGTCTGACGACTTAGTGCGACTTAGCCCATCAACTCCCACCCCACATAGCCCTCATGTGGACACCCCTGGGCGACTCTCAGGTGATATGTGGAAACATACCCTTGTGAAAATTGTGAAGAGTGAACATTCCAAGGGGAAGCATCCTTCTAGACAATGCCATGTTTGCACAGTTCACAAAAAAAAGGACTATGACTGTCTATATTTGAAAGTGTATAATGCCACTTCAAAAAGGGGAATGTTTCCAGGAATATCACACTTTCAAGCACTTCTAGGAGCATTGGTAAGTGTTCTCCAAAAATTATAGTTCATAAAATTAATTAGGAGATTTTATATTAATTTTTAAAGTGAACAGTGCACAAGTTAGGGTAGTAGGTATAAAAATGCCGCTCCCCAGGGTGATTTAAATATTTAAATCGCCAGTCTGCAAAGTATTAAGGCTGTTCATCCCAAATAGCCTAATGGAACATCCCCATTCCTTTTCTTTGCAGGCTGTTCTTGCAACGTCTTCTTTTTGTCCAGCTACTCCTCTTGCAGCAACTATTCTCCGGCCGTTACATCCTCCGCTCCCATCTTAGGATTGTTCATCCTCAGCAATTCCATGGTCCAGCATTCGTCGATCTGTTGTATCACATTCACTCATCACTTTCATTCTCCATTCATGCCGAGGAGGCTGGTGTTTCTGCTGGAAATCTCTATTGCTTGTTGCCCAATATCCAGCCCTAGGGTCTTCCTGAGGGTTCGGCTGGCTGTTCTCTCATTCCCAGGATGCAGCCGCCGTCTTGTGTGTTCATCCTTCACTCCCATACTGCCCTCCAGTTCCACCTGAAGTCTCCGCCCTCTGAGGGCTCCTCTTGCAACGTTGTTCCAAGTCTGGTTGTTCCCGACCATGTGTCCCTTGCGCCGTGCCACTCCTGCACAGCGGGTCATCCTTCCGGGATCAGCGACACATTTCTTCTGGCACCCATCCTGATTTTTGGTCCATTCTTTCTTGAAGGCATCTCTCCTACGTCGTGCCACTGTTGCACAGCGGGATACCTTCCTGCAGGCAGCAGCCTACTTCATCCAGGATTCACAATTTCCTTGGGTCAGTTTCTTCGGCTCTCTGCGTCATCCTGCAGCTTACTTCTTGTCTCTATGCCTCTTCTTCCGTCCTTTGACCAGTTTCACTATGGCATCTTCATTGGGGACTTCTCGTTGTTCTGCCACCTCAGGTTTCCTGCTCAGTGAGGTTGGCTGTTCTTCTTCTAGACGTGGCTCCATCTTCTGGCAGGCCATCGTCTCTGCGTCCATTTCGGGTTTGATTTCGGCCACCATCTCCTTGTGGCTGGTGTCCATCATTTTCATCATTTCCTTCCGTTCTCTTCGCTCAGACTGTCTGTCAGCTTCCAATCTGGCCAGCAACTCCTTATGGCCGGCCTCTGTCTTAGCTTGGTAGGCATCTAATTTTGCCAGTAAATCTTCGTCTTTCTTCCTATTGGCCTCCATCTCTTTCAGCATTTTGATTATTTGTTCCATTTTCATATGACAACACTGTGAACACACACTTCAGTCTTCAGTTCAAATTGTGGCAGTATTAATAGTTGTAAATTCAATTATTTGTCGAGGAGTGTTCAAGTTTGTAAACCAATAATGACAGCAAATTGTCACATGTTGGGTATGTGTCACGTGACAAATAACTTCACGCCGTCTTTGATCTAGTGAATTTATTCCACTTGCTCTCACACTCACACAATTCACAATTACACCATTACTGCCATCTGCAGTGTCACAATTACATCCACTGCTCTCAGCGACTGCTAGACTTCCGCTGCACTCGGTGACTTCACAATCCACACTGTGTCATTCCTGATCACACACTCTCGCTCACATACTGCTCAGCTGGCTTTTTATATCGTTCCCTGTTGCCTCGTGTTACCAGCGTTGTCCCCTGTTACGTCACAAGAGGGAAGCGGAGTGTTGACTGGCCTGTTACCATAGCAATGACAGCACTCAGATGTTGTTACATTGCCACTGGCGGGGGAGGGCGTGTCCTGCATAGCGCAATACATCACAATATGTTAACATACATAATTCTCGTACATGTTGAAAGGAAGCCGCATACTGACAAAGCAGTGGCTTCATGATGTGGCATGTGCAGAAATTAAAAAATGTCTGTTTCTTAAATTAGAATATGAGTGAGGTTCAGTAAATAGGTCATAAATGGAAAAGAGCTCTAATGGACATAATAGGTTTTCTATGTGTATCACTAGGTAGTAGCACAGGCCAGCTGCATGACAGTCTAGGTAGCAGACGTGCATGCACATGTTCAAAGGATGGTTTCAAGTAGTCAAAATGATGACCATGCTTGAGGAGTTTACTACCGAAAAGCAGAAGAACTGTATACTATAATCTTATAGTTCACATGGGTACCATACATGAACACTTGTCTTAATGTGTAACTCTAACATGACATTTAGACATATGTAACAAGACTGATTAATGTATGGTACAATAACTGAGGGTTGAGATTGTTGTTTGTGATATACAATGCAGAAGCTCACTTTAGGGTAGCTGTTCAACTGATTGGAATGATGATGAAGAGAAGTTTTAATGTGTACAGGCTGTCAGCCTGTCAACTACATCCTAAGCCTGAATCCACAGGGTAAAGTTAACAAAGGAGTGCATGGGTCCTCCTGCCAGCCTGAATGAACACCATTTCCTGAAGGTTTTGTTTCCTTTGTGAAATAAGCTGCACCTTACAAAATTTTACCTCAGATTGCCAGATAAAAGCTTGCTTTTCTTCTGCCCCCTTAGGTCTTGAAGAATTACCCATTTTTTCATTGTTTGGTACAAGTAACATTTTGTGAATGGCCACATTTCATTTAACATGTTATGAAGCCCCCTATTATTCAATTTTCTCCAACCTATCATTTTTCAGAGAACCTGCCCAATAGAGACTCCTCACATTCTATGTGCCAAATCTCATGTCAATTCTCCTTTGCTTACGCTGTTTTAAAGATTACATTCAAGTTTGTGGCCCTGTGTAACATTTTGTAATAGAATGTTTTTACAGTGAGGTGTTATTAGCACCACACCCAACACCCAACCCTCAAGCTGGAGGACCACCCATTGTCAGCTGTCCATGACTGCTTATTCAATACATTTGCAGCTACCCTCCACATCTGGAAGCCATCTCCTCCATCCACGGATTGACGATACACCATGCTGTGGTAACAAAGGACCCACTTAACATGCATATAAATTATACTTCGGATGAGTGACCAGGACAAACACTGTGCTTCCCACATGTTCTTCAATGTGTGATGTGAATCTCATGGCCTATCTTAAAGGAAAATGATATGCTATGTCCTCTGCTGTACTCATGGTTTGAAGAGAACTGAAGGACCATACCTTCAACTACTACTTTTGCTTAACTGTTGTTTCTGGACACACATTTAAAAAAATATGTATGAAATACCCAGATCTGCCATAAGATTGAAACCAGTGGCACGCAGTGAGGAATTACATGTACCCAAGACTGTGGTATCACAGAACTTTGAGGATGACAGATTTGGGGGGAGAAAGAAATGGATGTAGAAGCTATGAATCATGATACAGAAAATACGATACCAAATTTAGAAAAGCCCATAAAACAAATGCAGGTCAATTAAATTAGTTTGTAGAAGACTTATAACTTTCCAAGAATCAAGCTGAGTTTCTTGATTCCAGGTTGCGAGGATGAATCTTCTAGAAAAACATAAAGTGCTTCACTTTTCATAACCATGAAAATGTACTTGCAGTTTTCCTTTCCATGAAGAATGATATATCCTACTGTAACATACATTGAAAATTACACTTAATGGTCAAAACTCACTTGAACTCAACATATCATAGCATGCATCGAGCTTTTGCTGAACAGATGCCATTTCCCTCACTAACTGGGGCCAAACTCGTATCATGAATACCACCAGGGAACTAATAATGGGCTTCAACTATCACTGCAACACTACTGTTTTGTGGACAGGTGTAGATAAAACCCAGAGTTTTTACATTTTTCATACCAATGTCATGTTTCACAAATTTATTGATGTCTTAAACAACAGCAACATTCATTTTTGATGGCCCTGTGAAATATGCCTTCCTCATTTATTCAGAGTCTAGCTATTCTGAGATTTTCTAGCATAACTTGGACTAGGTGCAAAAAAAAGACAGCTAAAACCACTGTACATTTCCCAGCAGACATTCCTGCCCATCATACAAACAGATCTGCAACAGATCATCCTACATGGACAGGCCAAAAGGAATACAAAGACGAGTAGAGCTGCCTCAAGTGGAAATTTATTCTTACCTGCAGACAATCTACTGTTTTACAAAGTACACTTTTAGCACTTCCAGAAAGGTCATCTGGTGTAATGAGTTTTCCCAAAATCTTCTGCATCTGGAGAACTGCAAAGTAAATAATTTACTTACAATAATAGGTTTTTCTGTTTGGCTCACAGAAGAATTATACCAAGAACATAAGTCTTTATACTGTAAGCTGTACACTCAGTTCAACACAAAAGCTTGGGACTAAAAAATGGTTTCCTGCAATTGACACCCAGGCCCTACAAACATTTTATGGGCTAGAAACAATTTGCAAGAAAATAACCTATTAAACTATTATATTGTGACATGTTGACCCCTCCCACCCCGCAGCGGTAACGTAACGCTCGCGGAATAGGCGAGTAATCACCCCGCATCCTGGCAGCCATGCGCGGTGACGTCACGAGCGGAGCCGAAGAGAGCCGAGC